AGCGGCAGCAGCAACAGTAGCAGGATTAGCAGCAGCAACAATAACAGCGGCAGCAGCAACAACAGTAGTAGGATAAGCAGCAACAAGGAAAACCACAATAACATCATCAACAAGAGTTACTATCAGTAACAGTATAGACAAAAAAAGACAGCATGACTGGCACTCACTTTGGGTCAATAGTAAGAGCACTCTCGGCAGCTTTAATTCTCTTGTCTTGGTCACGTTCTCTCCATGCTTTCAGCATCACTAAAGAAACACCACAGGCAAAGTAGAAACAGTCAGTATGAATGAATGAGGAAAATTTACAAAAGTTACACATTCAAATTTTATTGAACCCTGAAACCACCTCTGGGCTCATCACAGAACATATCAATTGGAATGTTATATTTTAGGTTTTTTGAAGGGAGGGAAACTGGACAACATAGAGGGAAATCCTTGATTCAACATAGAGACCTAACAAACTCTACTCAAATGTGATGCATAGTCCATGAATCAAACCTGAGACTGCAGAGGAAACAATAGCAAGTGAGCTACCACTACACCACCCTTGGTTCCCAAACAAATGATTTTGAGAAATGTTTCTAAACTCACCTTCATCACAAGGATTAGAACTGGTCTCATCAGCATCACACGTAAAAAATGTCTAGGAATTTTGAAAATGTTGTCAATGAATTTGTGAGAAATTTGGTGGCCTGATGGTCAATGCATCAGTGTTAAGGATGGTCACCGGCATTGATTGTGAACATCTTTTGAGCATATGGAATGACAGCAAGTTTTTTTCWAGATCAAGCTTTGTCACTCTCGTTTTAAAAACAATATTGATCGGCTAGATCTTGGAAACAACATTGGTGACCCCTATGTTTTTATTTTAATGGCCTATAATAAATAAGATAAGCTACCAATGCATCGAATTGGGGGGGAGGGGGGATTACAGGAAGTTCAAATGAAAATACGTATTTGGATAAAAACTTCAATCCACATCAAGACCAAAGCATCACTRACTGTCGCATGGTGGCTGCAAATAGACCTCTTTTAATACCTTGTGTATAATGTTTATCCATTTCAGACCATGGATCATTCTATAGAGTATTATTTCTTTGTTTAACAGTTGTGCAAGAGAAGACACATAAATATGGAAACAATTTGAACCAAGAATCTTACTCTTAAGAGAATGACATGTGGTCTGGAATGAGAAACAATTGCCCAAGCTAGAGGTCTATTCAAGCCAGTAGCTAGGAGTTGTTTGTATGGTTGTAAGATGTTGGTCTTGACCAGGAAAATTTGTCCAGATTACCTGGTGGTCTTGAGCTGATAGATTCATATCATAGTATGTTAAAGGCTCCTTGCCAGTTACCCAAAGATATCTGGAATATAAATAAAAGTAAACAGATATGGTATTCGACTTATTACGGTAGTGAACTCCGATGATACCAAATATTTCAGTTTTCTTGAGACCCCAATTTGTGAAAAAATGGATGGATAAATGAATGAATGAACAAATAAATAACCTGAAGAATGATTGCATTGCATGCATTGTTTAGATCAATGAATAAATACTTGAATGAACAGATGGATGGATGGATGGATGCATGAATGGATGGATGGATATATAGGGGGGGGGGTGGATGGGTGGATGGATGGATGGATGGATAGATAGTTGAGTAATAAACTCTAATAATATCTAACCTGTTGTATTCAGCACCTCTGAATAAATTCATAGGATTCCTCCATACTTTGCATTCTACAAGAGGGTAACAGAGAACAAATGAAGATTATCTATCCTTTGTCATCACTAGCCAAAGATAAAAGCCAAGAGTCTTATTATTATGACACTATTTCTGAACTCTGCTTGTGAAGTTACAGAAATTAAGCGGAAGGAGTTCTACTGCTACGATACTACAGGCAACATCACATCGATAGATAAAAATAATTTCATTATATTTCGGAAAACAAGGATATCATAGTAGTACATGTAGTGCACTGGCCTCTCAATTCTGGGGTCTCAAGTTCAATTTCCTGAATCATCATACCATATGAGTAGAGTTTGTTAGAGTTCGTCTCTCCCTAAATTCAAGATTTTTTCTCCAGGTTCTCAGATTTTCCTCCCTCCACAAAACAAGCTAAATTCCAATTCTTACTGCGACTTTAGCTATCCCTTTACTTCGAGCAGCAGATCATCAATTATTTTCAGGGTGTTGATAAAATTTAAAGGTATATTAGGTTTTGCTAGGATTGTATTAAAGATTGAGAAAAAATTAGAGTGTTTTCCTAACAGGGTCCAAACCAGCAATCTCTTGAGTGCGAGCACATGCAATATTACTTTGTAACTTACCTGCAACATTCTGTGATGGGTTTTGTTGCGAGTTATCACTCCCGCCTAGTAACGGCCCAAGGTGTGATAACGACATATGCTCTATGAATGAAGTACCATACTTTCTGAAGTACCACCATTCAAAGATCTACAGTACAACAAAAATGAATTTACATCTAAGCATTCATTAATGGTTTTCACCATAAACTGGAAACTGGAAATTTTGTYATGTTATCGACCATAACTGTGTAATAAACAAAATATTTCTGGTTAAGAGCCTGATATCTTTTATTCACTCGTTTYCCATATGATATCCCTCACTCGCTCGCAGACTCACTCATTCACGATATCATAATTATGGAAACTTGTGAATAAAGATAATATCAAGCTTTTAACATGTGGTAATCTCTATTAATTAAATAACTGGTTTATTTATTTACTTGGTACTAAGCAAGGGTGGTGTGCTGTTACCACTGTTTCTATTGCTATGTGCTGATCAAGACAAATCTGGCAATAGGTTAATGAGCAATAGACTGCTGTCAATCGCATAAATCGTTAGAGTAGATGTACATGGGAACCATGAGTAGGTGATTGGGAACCATTGATGTACACCTACTATACTTGCAAGAACGTTGTCATACCATATTAGAACATTAGTAATTTAGTGAGAAAGGAATACATTAAAAGACAAAAGAAAAWGTTCAGCTTCAGTGATCTTCTTTTGTTTTTTAATATWATTCCTATCCCACTAAATCACTAACGTTCTATTTTCGTATGGCAACATGGGTGCATATGATTGACTTTAGTCTATAACTTAATGACCCGTCAAGATGTTTTGATCAGCAGGTAATGATGAAAACATTATTAATGTGCACCTCAAATTGGAATAGAGGTTTTGCAACACCATGTGACGGCAGCCATGTTAGATGATACACGTGGCACGTGATAGTTTAAAAACCTCTATTTAGAGTGTTAGGTTTTGCAGAGGAAGGAAAAATGGAGAACCCAGAGAAAACCTTGAATCAAGGAAGAGATCCATCAAAATCTCCTTACATGTGATTACAAGTCTGGGAACTGAACCAGAGACCCCGGAGATGAGAGGAAATAGCACTACCTGCTATACGTACCAATATAATGCCAGATATGAAAGATGATGTTCCAGTTAATGCTACATAAAATTTGGGGGTCAGGGTATTTAAGAACATGATGACTGTAAAGGAAAAAGAATAATAAAATAGTAAGATTTCATATAAATAACGTATTAGTCAATTGTAACCCCTACCCCCCCCCTCCCTCTTTCTTAGGACAGGGCAGGGAATTTGACATTCATGTAGTCTTAAATTTAGCACTTTCCCCTGGTCCCTGGGGAAAGAATTGTTGTTAAAATTTTGTGGTTGTATGTTATATTAAATTCCCTGTATACCCCTGCACTCAAGCTGTTAAATGCTTGTTAAATCCCTGGTCTCATTACATTTTGCTAGGGGTCGGGGTGGAGGTTTCAATTGACTAAGTGCATAACTCTAGAAGAACAGTTATAGCACAAGCGAGCTAGCACAAGCAACATCTCTTCAGAAAAGGAAGGTATTCTGGCTCAAAGTTTGTAACTGACTATGAAAGAAAATATTTTCTTATGAAAATGTTTTTAAATTTATTCTTTCATTGCTCATTTACTTTTCTTTTTGCTCTTATTCTTATTTTCTCCTCATATATCAGGGTTCCCAGCCATTTTGAAAATAAAAATTCCCTGACTTTTCCCTGACTAAACAACAGTTTTCACTGACCTTGTTGAGCCGCATGGACAAGCATGGGCCACATGCCTACTTTTTACCCTAGGCCCCGCTCTTACACAGGAAACCCAATGTAATTAAACTGTGCAGCATAAATGATACTAAATACTTCAATATTGTTTTCATTATTTGAAAAGATTTAAAACAGTATGAGTATCACACGGATACTCATGGTTAACTTTAAACAAAATTTCCCTGACTTTTCCCTGACCCCTGGGAACCCTGTATATATTAATCTCTAATTTTGCTGCTCACTTGATTTGTTAATGTTTTCTTTGATTTATATGATATAGAAGGATATTTTGGGAGAAATAGAACAAAATACTGATAATGAAATCAGATGATAGTAACTAATTTGAAGCTTTATGATTATACACTCTAAAAAACTACTAGATTCTGATTGGACAAGAGAAGTACAATTAAATCCCAAATTGTACTCTGTAGAGTTGCACAATCTTCTCATACAATTCAGAATGTATAGATACTTGTGATGTTTTGAAAGTTCTCGAACTGGACATGCCTAAAGGCATGTCCAATTTTGAAAACTTTCAAAACATCACTTGTATCTATAAATTCCAAATCGTACTGGAGATCGTGCGATTTCCTATACAAATAGTGACCAGTAATATGAAGAACCAACTATACTGGGTGTTTATATGGAAAGAAGTTGTCACTATAAACCTGGGACAACTATTGGTTTTAATGGAGATATGCATGCTCAAATGAAAAAGTTGTCTCAGATAGCYGAATTAAAGTGTTTAAATGGGAAAGAGTTGTACCTGGTGTCAAGGTCTGCCTTCTTCTAGGGGAAAATTGGCTCGGCCAGGGTAACTCGGGGAAGAGGGTATTCCTTCTACCAAAGGCACCTTTAATTTTCCCCATGTAAAAAGCACCATAGACAGTTTAATTTCTTGGAAAACATAGCCCTTCAATTTCTATAAGCCTCTTTAAAATTTGAAAGTCAGACATGGAAGCTACATTCTTCACATCCTTCATGGCATCATATTCCAGGGGCCAGGAAATTAAGAAATAAAATGAAAATATCAAGAACTCCTACAAATATATTTCCTGGAATTCAATCTAAATTTCCCGAAAATTAATTCACACCTTTTTTGCTTTAAATATTTACGTGATATTTTGGGATTTTAATAGCATTAATCTTTCAACATCAGCTGTTCCAAGGCAAGAGGTTTTTTTTTAAAGTCTTGATAACAGGTGAGCAAATAAAGGACCCCATTTTCGCTGATAAGTAACTTAAATATTAATAAAAAATAAGAATCAAATCTACGAAGTTCTTAAAAATTCGTAAAAACAGAAAAGCGAAAATTCTGAAATTTGAGTCGAAATTTATAATCTTACAAAGAAACTAGAAATGAAAGAGAGATACAGAGATACGCTTAAATAGAAAAATTCTCATATCTTGTCACAAAAATTACAATCCGTTTTCCTAAACATTAGAATTAAATCTAATGTTCTTTTAACCAAGAATAAGGTTTCTTGAACTATAATCTTTTCTCTTGAGCGAATCAATAAAAAAATTGAAGTCGGGCCATTTTGTTGGTCATTTGAAAAACAAACAAATAAAACCAAATGAAAAAATGAGAACTGCGTTAAAAAATCGTAAATTAAGAATTTCATGGTTAAGAATAATAATCATTATTTTAAAGCGCACATTTTTTATTATTAAATATTTTAAAAATAAAGTTTTTTAGTAAAAATTTAGAGACGCGCGGATGAAAAGGCCTCATCGAGTGTCCGGCCTGAAAAACTCACCCAAGTTAAAATTCTCTTTGAGACGAAGTGGAGTCCGGAGAACGTAGAGAAGGAAGATAACAAGGAGGAACCAGAATCCCCAGAGATAGGTCCAGGACCAGCCAACCCACTGCTTTATTTTGCCAAGTCCTCGAGAAAACCCGCCGACATTTTGATYTTCGGTCGCCATTTTGGAAGGAAAAGTGTGACTTGCGCAGTAAGATCCTTGTTACCCGTCCATAGTTGCAGGCTGTACCACAGGGTGACCAACCACTCTGAAAGGCGTGTTGGATTTATCAATTTTTGTTTGTTTATTCATTAATTTATTTATCCATACATTCGTTATTCACTCTATTTATTCATTTATTTAATTACTTCATTTGTTCATTCCATTCATCCACCGATCCATCCATTAATGCTTTCCATCCATCCATCCAACCATGCATGCATGCATGCATGCATCCGTCCGTCCGTCCGTCCGTCCGTCCGTCCGTCCGTCCGTCCGTCCGTCCGTCCGTCCGTCCGTCCGTCCGTCCGTCCGTTCGTTCATTCATTCATAGATTAAATCGTCTCGTTAATTCTATCTTCTCATTTTCATTCACGGGGGTCTTCACGGGGCGAATCTAAGGGTGGTTCGGCGGGTTCGTCCGAAACCCCCCTACCGCCGCAAACGAACCACTTAAATGCCCGAGGGTGGGGGGGGTACTTCACTAGGATTTGGGTAGGGGTGTTCCGCTGGGATTGTGAAAGGGGTACCCTGATAATGACAACAACAAAAAAACATAAATTTGTAGACCCTGTTTATGACAAAAGATATAATTAATTGCATTGAGTTCATGTTTCAATTATCATGTCATCAGTCGCGTATCGCTTCTTGACTAAGACCATAGTAACCAGTTTCGGTCAATACGAAAGGAGAAAGCCTGAATATGACAGGAAAATCAGGGGAAAAAATGGAACTTAAGCGAAATTGCATATTCTGTTTATGACAAGAAGCTCGAAAAACCATACCCTGTTCAGCGGATCATTCCCGTATAGTCCATATATGGGAGTACCCCCCTCCCAGGCTTAAATGAGAGATACGAACCTCCTTTTTAGACCATCTTGATTAAATCTTGATAGAGACAATAACAAAACCAAGATATTGTCCGTGAAAGAAAGTAGCCAAGCCAATCTGTAGCATTTTCTATCTTTTTTTTTTTGTTGACCAATTTTCCCCCCGAACCCCCTTACCCAAAATCCTGGATCCACCCTCATTCTGTTTACTGCAAAGGGCCTTCTAATGGACACCGTATATGAAATGAATAGACACCCTTGTTGGTAACATAGTGAATAATAGAAAAGTTAAGTATGTTTGTAATGGATACTTTATCGATGAAGTTAAAATAGAAGCATCATTGAGACGACCTTTTGAGTCTAAYATCTCACAATTAAAAATCGATGTTGCTTTTTCTACCAAGAATTAGTCAAAGACTCGATCTTTTTAAGGTGCTTTTTAAAGTTGAAGAGGAAGAGGAAAAAGATGTCTAAAACATAAAGAAAACGGAAAGAAAACGATTTTTTTGCGGAATAGTTGAAGAAATTTTTTCTTGAGTTGCATGGCTATTTGTTAGTAGAATGTTCAAAACTGATTCTCGCGGGAAAGACAGAACCGAAATAGTAGTCTAGAGAGCTTAAGATTCTCGTTTACGGCAAACGTGAACCGTCAGTTGACCATTAAAATTTTCTTTTTTAAAATTAGTGAAAAGGAATCGCAAAAATCTCCAAGTAGTAGGTAAACAAAAGAATATTTGTCTTTGTCGAGAAGGTTTGCAAAAGGTAAAGTGAAATGTAGGGAAACGATGAAAACGTGGTCACGTTTGCCGTTTGCGGAAAGGAAAAACGGGAATCTTAATCTGCCTTGTAGTAGTCCGATAGAACCTAAAATATTTTATCACAGAGAACCGGCATTTTAACTAATTCGCAAGTAAATCAATTCTATACTGTGTAATAATATTTTCCTATGGCAAAGAAATCGCTGTTGCTTTAAATCGAATTGACTTGACTCGAACAAGTTTCCTGGTGGCCACCATCTTTGATTTGTTTACGTTGTACTCCCATTTTTAAAACTTGATCCGCTAATCCGACAGGAAATGAGAATAAACATCATTAACATTATTTGTTTTTTCTTCAGGCTTATAAAGAGTTTATTAACAAAAAACCATGTTTAATGCTTTTTTCTTCCTTTATAACTTTAGTATAATATTAGGAAACGAGCCGAACCTTGGGGGAAAAATTGGCAACCTTTTAGATTGTATCGTCGAAAACGTTTGTTATTGCAGATTTGCCGGAATTAAATCGACCAAAATAACCTCACTCAAGTACCATTTTAGAAAGACACCCAAAAAATTTTGAAGTTGCCTCTAGATATCAATGATTCTTATGATATAGACGGCCATTTTGCTTACTTAAGATTTTACCATCGAAAAAGGTCTAATTGTTATTTGTCGCTTTGTCATTGAATGAAATCACGACTCAGTTTAAATTTTTGGTACGGTTGGCTTTAAAATAGCGTAACCTCTCATTACATGAGCCACAAAAGCCATTGTACACTCTCATGAAATAAAAACTAACTCACAAAAAGTGTATCTTCGTTTTTCAAGGTTTCAAAGTTTAAAAAAAGCCGAAACCATGTTTCGTGAGCACACGAGTGATTTCGGTAGAGCGACGAGAACTTTGAAGAGACTTTTGGTTTAACATAATTAACCGTCTAGCTTGGTATTTAATCCGCCTATTTGAGGAAATAATTCACGAACAAAAGATAAAATAAATAGCCCGACGTTGAAGAGAGTTTATTCGCGTAGTTTCAACGATAATTTTAACTCAAACAAAGCGTAACAAGAGAGATGTCAGTCCACAGCTCGCTTCCTATTGTTTTTGTCAATGTTTGTTTTTCGAGGAGTTTGCCGCTTGTTTGGAAAGAAAAGGGCTAAAAAGGGTTGATCCTAAGAGTTTTGGAAATTGGGTGTTCTTCCGTAGCTTGAATCAATCCCGACAACAAGGATAATTGATCAAAGATTGCCGTCTCTTTTGTTCCAAATGGTCTGAGAGTAGCGGTCTATTTACTGCGGCTTTCCTTTTATTAACGGTTAATAGATTCATTAAAAAAAGAAAATCTAACTTCAAACTTCTCCTCTATAGACAAAGATTACCTTAAAGATAAATGTGCATTTCTGGAGACTCTTTTTGATCAAGTGGTTTGAAATTTTTACATTTCTATTTGATACTGTATTGGCTACGAAAGGAGCAGATAATTTAATAGTTATYACAAACAAATCAATTCAAAAGGGAACACTGTTTGTTTATTGGATCACTGCTTTGTACACATAAGATCTTACGCCTAACCAGTTTAGAATCGTTTTCAAGATTTGCTTAAACTCGCGTGGTTTCTTAGAGGCCATATGAGAACTTGCAGTCATCTTGAGTGAAAAAATTTCTGGGAGTTCATTTATGGAAGACTCAATCGTGCGCACTTTGAGATTGAAATATAATGCATTGATCCATTGAGTTATAAACAATTATTCACACGCCAAAAGGAGTGTACTTAACCAACGAGAATATTCTTTTTATTCTGGTAGTCTTTTGAGTTGGTAGCCAATCAGACACGACCAAAAGACTTGAGTTCGGAGCCGCTCTATTGCCCATGTGCACCAACCAATCATGGACGTGCCGTATCTTAACAGCTCACTTTCTTTACATCAACGATACAGCACACTTGTTGACTTGTTAGTCATCCACGCTAAGCCATAACATGAGACGACTCGGTTTTTTATTAACCGCGGTGATCTTTCTTTCTCTTCCACATCAAAGTTGTTCACATTGGTGGTGAGTTTTGTAATGGTAAATTTGTAGGGTTGAGACTTTGTTTCTCTTAAGAAGCCCCAACAACATCATCAAATCTGACTCCTATCAATGTCTATGGCACTTCTCGGGCATCAAATATTGGTTTGCAAAGTGCATTGATACCAACACTAGGTTTCTTGAATTACGATTTTTTTCCAACGGTTAAATATTTCTATTTTACCCGGTTTTTATCAGGTTCATGTCGCAAGTGTACGCGCTTGGAGCCAAGGTAATGTGCAACAGTATTGCAGGACTAGTGACCATCCAGCGCCAAATCTGCCGCGAGAACCCCGATGTAATGATCAGCGTCGGCAAAGGCGCAAAACTCGGCATCCATGAATGCCAATATCAGTTTCTTTATCAACGATGGAATTGCTCGACTGCCGAACGCGATGCTTCCCTTTTCGGCAAGGTTATGAGACGAGGTAAGAAGACTTTCACCCAGCCGCACGTGGGTTTGTTTGTTATTTTTTGTCACTTGACTAAATCGTTCTGATTTCTTTCTGTCTTCTGCGGGAATCGTTAATTAATTGTAAAGATTGCTCCAGAAAACATGATATTTGTTCTCAATTACTTTTACGAGACGCTTACATTTGTAATCACGGCAAATACTACTCATGCGGGGCTCGACCAAGTGTTTGTCAAATGTGGATGCAAAAATTAGCTTCTTCATTTGCCTTTTTCGGCACCTTTGACTCCAATGACAATCGAACGACGCGGTTAATTATTTCTTTACGAATCAAAACATTTTCTTTTCTGTTTTATAATGGATTAGTTTACTCTCTTAGTTGAAATGTCTTGCTCTTGCTTACAACTTTATTTGCTTCTTACACATTTTTTCATTACCTTTTCTTGCTCGCGCAAAGAGATGTTTTTCATCAGAACAAACTGAATAAGTGGAATGAATTAATAGACAAGAAAAAAATTCATCTAGAGACTCCAAGTGCCTCTCTAAAGTTTATTTTTTTCATTTATTGATAGCGAGCAAAGAAACAGCTTTCGTCTATTCTATCTCGACTGCTGGGGTCGTCCATGAAGTTACCCGCTCCTGCAGCCTCGGAGAACTGAAGGAATGCTCCTGCGACAACCGCCGAGGAAGAAGCCGCAAAGGTTTCGAGTGGGGAGGCTGTAGCGACAACATCATGTATGGCTTGAACTTTGCTAAAGCTTTTGTGGATTCGAGAGAAGTTGAACGAGACGCTAGAGCTTTGATGAACTTACACAACAACTATGTAGGAAGAAGGGTGAGTTTGAATTTTAATCCCCTCGTCACGACTGTTCTTACAACAGCACTAGAAATAGCTATATAATGAGGCTTTAACTCCCTCTTCATTGTTGCCGGCCAAGTAAACAAAAGTGGGTTGGGATGAATCATTTTCCAAAGCAAATACTGATCCACTATGGACATCAATGCCATTATGTTTACCAAATCAAAAGAAAAGAAAGCTCGTAGACCTAGAACGTAGCTAGTGTCTACCAGTATCAATTTAAAGTTGTCGAAATTGAAATTGCAAAGTCATGGATGGTTGGTGTTCGAAGGGAGTGAAGCGATTGGAATTCCAAGTCTTCAAGTCTTTTCTTTTCTCTGATCCCTAACGACAATGGAGACTCCAAAAGGCCTTTCATATGGCATGAATGTGCTTGAATCATAGCTTGATAAACAGTTCTAACAAGGGTGTTCAAAGGGCTACTAGGGGCAACCATCTCTCGAACATTTCACTACCACACACACACACCCCTTAACGTTACATGAACAGGAAGTTACGCCATTGCCATAACATTTCAAAACGTTACGATCTACAAAGCAAAGGAAATTAAACTATTCAAACAAATTCAATAATCCGTTACACAAAATAACTACGACGTTCAAATCCAAACAAGCCACAAAGAAAGGAACTTCGTAAGGTTTTCTCAATCAATTGACTTTCACACGTACTCTACACTTTCCAAGCTAATATGGCTTTGATTGAAAATTGTTTTATAGCGTTAGAGTGACACGTCTATATGATGCTGATATTTATATGCGATRAATCCAATAATGTTTGTATAAAACCATTTACTCCAGGGCCGAAACTGAAATAAATAACTTGGAAAGCATGTTGTTGACCAGGAAAAGTTTCGGTTCGCAAAAACAAGGAAAAATTCTAGGATATTTTTAAATCGTCCAACTCATTTTAAATTGTTCAGGTTGACAAGGAATTAGAGTCGTCATCTTAAGTTTTAAATTCTCCGTTGCCTAAAAACAGCTTATTCCGTATTTTTGCAACGGAGTGAATCGAAAAGATGCAAAAGAGGCTATCGAAGACTGACTACGGTTAACTTTTTTTCATTACTGCGACAAGTTTTTCCTTTGTGAAATAGTTACTACAAAACCACTTCTGTTAGGTTTTACTTGTAAAACTCAGTGATCATGAATATCTAGCGCCATGCAGTACTAGATGTGACTGCTTTTACTACTAGTGCAGGATTAATTTGTTCAAAAATAAAAAGCTTGCCCAATTGAATATTCAAAATGTCATTATGATATCTTAATACAAAGTGATCAGTAGTTGACGTCAGTGTCATCAAATCTTCAGTTACAAACTCAATATCAACCGTATTGAAACAAATCGCTTAGCAGAGCGTTAAAAAGTGGTAGTATTTCTTATACATCTATTCAGTCTCCTTCTTCAAACCCAGCCAACTGAGAATGCCACGCTCTTTTGCCACACACTCGTCGCGGGATCTTGATAGTTTAATGTAAATTTACGAATGCGTGCTAACTCGACTTCATGTTTCGTGTATGATCGAGGCAGGGCGAGTTCATTCAGTTTGTGAAACAATCTATTTCATAACCTCTGAAAGTTTTCCGGGAAAAGTTTGCGATAAGTCTAAAGTAGTTATGAAAGACGGTGACCGTCGAAGTATATCGAATATGACGCGTATCGTTGACTTGCTCAAAAGGAAAATAAATGACCACTTTGCTCAAGGACTCTTCTTTAGATACTTGAAATGCATAGCACTTCAACCTGCCTAAATTTGCTATATCGTTGAAGGTGTCTTAATATGAGTGGAAGTATATTGAAAAAAATTGCTAAATAAACTTATACCGATAATAATATCCGTTCTGACCCGTTTTTTTTTTGTTGGTATTATTCCTTTTTGCCATTGTTTTTCTAGGGAGTGGTTACGATTGTCTCTAATAGTTGGTCCATTTTTTTCTTGTATTCGTAGTCTTGGCTGTCATGATATTGACGCGTATCGAGAAACATATCACACCACCAAACAATCAAGATGGAAATTAAGTTTACAGAGTTGCTCTATTCCATAAATCTATGTACCTGTCATTTTACACGACACCGGATCGAAATATTGCGACCAATTTGAATAACTTTTTTTCTGGACTGACCAGCCTCATGGAATGCCGATTGACAACTCAATTCTCATATCAATCTAATCTGTATCTGGCTATCGTATTACATACTATACTAGTCTATTACCATATGTAATGGACTTCTTGAGTACCGTCTCGTCTCCGACCATGTGAACAATCTCTTGAGCATGATTGTCACTCAATTGTTGATTCTTCAGTGAAGATGAAGTGATATGGACATGTTAGCTTGAAGCAGTCGGTTTGTTCTAGGAATATTTGTCGAGGATTGTTCCCTTCCAGTCTTCAAATTCATGGCACAAATTTATTAGTTTAGTGCTTCCATCTTATCCCATTCATCCATGTATTCATACTATTCCATCATCTTCACTGTCCAGTATCCCCTTCATGTTCATTGCACTGTTCGTTTAACCATTCATTCATTGCATCTTCAAATCAATAATTCATTTATCCTATTCCATCTTCACTGTCCAGTATCCCCTTCATGTTCATTGCACTGTTCGTTTAACCATTCATTCATTGCATCGTTGAATAGCTTGCGTTCCATCCGGCCTTTTCTTTCGAAGGTATTTACGAAGAAAATTCCGGATATGACGCAGGCTAATCGTTGGATTAATCATCCATTTATCCCTTTTTATTTGCCTTCCATAGGCCGTCAAGACCAACATGCTTCTAGACTGCAAGTGCCACGGTGTGTCAGGCTCCTGCTCGGTCCGAACCTGCTGGAAAACCCTCCCACCATTCCGTATCGTCGGCGAATACTTAAAACACAAGTATATGACCTCACAGCGCGTGACTGTCGACCAAAGCGGCAAAGCACTAACCCGTGCAGACATTATTTACAGCAGACCATCACGAGATGAGCTCGTGTACCTTGAAGAATCTCCTGATTATTGCGACATCGACGCCAAGACCGGCTCTCTAGGGACGTCAGGTCGCGAGTGCAACAAAACATCAACAGGAACAGGTGGTTGTAAAGTCCTGTGCTGTGGCAAGGGCTTCAATACGATACAAGTCGAAGAGGAGTACAAATGCTCCTGCAAGTTTCACTGGTGCTGCCATGTCAAATGCCAGAAGTGCAGAAGAACGGTCGATAAACATATCTGTAAGGGAGCCAAGGATATCCCTGCGAATGTGAAGAAAGGCAGTTCTCGCACCAACAGTAAAAAGAACAGAAGAAAAAACAAGAAAAGAAAAGATCGAAGAAAAGATAGTGGTACTCCTGGGGTCCGTTAGTAGATGGGAGGAAATCAAAAACAAAAATGGGAAAAATGAGAAAATGAATGGGAAATGACAAGAATGCAAACAGAAATGTCTCCAAACCAGCTGTCCCTTTTTGGAAAGGTTCATAGTTGTCTCAAAAAAGTCGTTGCCATATAATTGGTTAATAAGATTTGAATGATAGATAGATTATAGCACGGAACTAAGGGTTTTAAATTCAGTAACATTGTCTGTTTTGGTAATATGAACATAAACCATTTAATTTCGACTGATAGTCGATGTCAAACTATCTCACTCTCCACTGTAATTATTCCGTTGTAAATACATCATTTCCCTCCCCTGGCTTCCAGCTGTACATATTATACAGAGATCCTCATTGGTCAAGTTGTTTTAGCTCAGTGTTGCAGTGTAATTAGCGACAGTGTTAGCGTTTCACGTGTAGTTTTGTACCAAGAAATATTTATAATAAACACATTTATACATTAAGGTCCTGATTGATAATGTTGTTGACAATGCATGTTGGTGATACATGATGATGATGATGATAATACATGATGATAAATGATGATACATGATGATGATACATGAT